TATAAAAATAGATAAAAAGTAGTATACTTTTTATTATACATATAGAATAATCCTTCGGGTGTCTAGCCGTCCGTGACCGGACATCGTCATCCTATGATATTCTGCCTTGCGTGTCCGCCCTCGATAAGGTACGCTAGACAAGGGTCTGTAACACTTTCCCTACTAATCAACGCAAGTGGCTAGAAAGCTAAGACACTTTTGATTCACATGGTGTGCTTCACCGGTAGGTGGGCTGTGAGAGGGGATAGACCCGCATACCGAAGTGTGAACAACGAGAAAGGGTGTACACATATGCTGCGAGTGATCTGAGGAACCGCGTAATTGGCATTCCGGATAGATGTCAACCGATGTTTAGTGCAGTATGCCCTTGGAGGGACTACAGGCTCGGCGCCAAGCGTTGACATTTGAGCTTGACAGTGCATATTTGCAAGATGCCCGAGTTTTATTTAGCCGGCCATGCTAAAGATCCTCGACTGAAGGTTTTAAAAACGTGTTTACCTGAAGTACTTGCGCCGCGGAAATGTATATCCTGTTCGATTTCGACCCTACGAGACAGTTCAGCGCGAATATCGGCTTTCGGACTTCTCCCGAGGCAAAGTAGGATTTTGCGATTTTCTGGAGTCTGATTTGTGGGGAATTAAACTAGTCCTGTAAAGAAATGTCATTGTCATATAAGTCACTCCGTATAGATCGATCTGGAAGCATTTAAATAGGTTAGGTAATGATTTTACGGAACATTCACTTCCGCATGGCCTCAAATCACCACCAACCATTTCGGGGTTTTACAAAAACCAAAATCGAGTGAAAGTTGCATACCTCTCGGCGGGTCCTGCGGTCCCGAAACGGATTCAACTAGTGTATTTTACCCGACGCTATGTAAATTTCAATGTCACGGTAATGGTTATCAGATCATCTGATAGGGTTAAGATGATCACGCACATGGCAGTCAAAAAGGATAGACGGGATACTACCGTGTAGTAGTATGTAGGATTGTAACGACGATGGATACTCTCGCGTAATACCTGGTAAGCCTGCAGAGACAGGATTTTCACCGGACGGGAAGCCAGGTCGGGTTAGGGGACTGGAACGGACCCCAGGCCAACACAAACAGGGATCACTCAAAGAGACACCACGGTAGCTTTTCATCGATTCCCCTTGCTGCGGTCAATTGCACGCATCGAGACTGTGATTATCTAGGATGCCGGCATCTGAGGTTTCGAATAGCAATCAGCCAGAAGGCACCCCAGAAGAGAAAGGACGAGGACGAGCAGTTGTATGAACCATCTACCATCTCACCAGGCCATCGCTGGCAATGACTGACGGAGCATAGGTCGAACATGTCTCGAAGTCAATTCTTAAGGGCAAGGATATCAAGACCTTGTTCACCTTCATCCGCCTGTTATTCTCGCTGAACTACACCGCACTTGATATACTGCTCATGGTCGTGGGAACCTTTTTTGCCATTGCCGCAGGAGTTCCAGAGCCATTGCTTGGTATCGTGCTGGGTCAACTGATCAATGAGCTTAATACGGTCGCCTGTTCCGCAATGCAGTACAATCCCTCCTCCGTCCGAACAAAAGTCCTGTACCTGATCTACATTACGATCTTCAATTTTGTGAGCATCTACATATATGCGGCATGCTGGGCACTCGTCAGCGAGCGGCTGGCTCGTCGCTATCGCAAGGCATACTTCCGAAGCGTGGTCCGCCAGGAGGCAGCATTCCATGACAGTTTACCTTCAGGTCAGGTCATCTCCCGGCTGGTCAGTGATATCGAGACGGTACAGTCCGGAACGTCCGAGAAAGTGGGCATCTATATGGCGACCCTGTCGTACTTTGTTACGGCGTATATCGTGGCGTTTATAAAAGTCCCAGTGATCGCGGGCATTCTCATTGCCATCGTGCCATGTTTCTTCGCGATGGCTCTCGTTGGCGGCCACCTCACCTCGCGGTATGGGAGTCGCGTGGGCAAACACATCGACCTGGCCACCTCCATCGCATCGTCCAGTCTGTCCCATCTCAAGATTGTGCATGCCTTCAATGCGCACCAACGCTTGGAGGATCTCTTCTCCTCGCACCTGTCCAACTCCCAGAAGGATGCGTTGAAAAAGGCGGCGGTACATGCGACGCAGATGGGCACACTCTTCTTTGTGGTCTACTCATCTAATGCACTAGCCTACTGGAAAGGGGCACATTTGATAGCGGACTCAATCGACGGCCGCAACTCCGGTGTCTCCGTAGGCGCGGTATATACCGTGATATTTATTCTCATCGATGGTAAGCTATCTACCGACTCCACAGATTGTTTTCCACTTCACGGTTACCAACTAACGCGAAACAGCGTCATTTATCCTGAGCCAGGTTTCTCCTTATATGCATGTCTTCAGTGCCGCAGCAAGTGCTTCCGAGCGCCTGTTAGAAGTGATCAACCGCCCCTCCACTATCGACGGCACCTCCGACACGGGGGGGAAGTGTGCAGATCTTCGCGAGGAAGAAATCAAATTCAACGACGTGCACTTTACGTATCCGGCTCGATCAGAGAATCCCGTCTTGCAGGGTGTTACTTTTTCAATTCCTCCTAGACAGCACACTGCTATTGTTGGTCCCTCCGGAGGAGGCAAGTCCACTATTGTCGCCCTCTTGGAACGATTCTACGACCCGTCTACAGGAAGTATCTGTATTGGCCCACAGGATATTCGGCACGTCAACGTGGCCAATCTCCGAGGGCAAATGGGCTTTGTCCAGCAAGAGTCGCAGCTCTTGAATCGGTCAATCCTGGAGAATATCGCATATGGCCTGGTCGGGTCAGTGGAGCATGAAGACTTGGTGGAGGTGATCCTGGATATGAGTCTCACCGGCGTCGTGGCTGAGATTCAATCAGGATGCACGGAAGAGGAAGTCATCAGAAACTGTGATCCCAGAATCTCCGAGATTTTCAGACGGGCGAAGGTGGCAGCGGACAAAGCCAATGCTCTTTCGTTCATCGAAACACTGCAATTCGGAATAGCAACTAGTGTGGGCACCGCGGGTGGCCAGCTCAGTGGTGGCCAACGGCAACGCATTGCCCTCGCCACTGCCCTTATTCGTGAGCCCAAACTGCTCATCCTGGATGAGGCAACAGCGGCACTCGATTCAATGAGCGAACAGCTGATTCAGGCCGCCCTGCTGAAGGTATCTGGAACCACCACGATTGTCTCTATCGCGCACCGCTTAGCAGCCGTTAAGGATGCCGACCAAATTGTGGTCATAGAGAAAGGCCGTGTGGCTGAATATGGCTCTTCCCAGCAACTACTGGATAGTGGTGGCATGTATGCAAAGATGATTGGTTTGCAGAGAATGGACAATGCGGAAGCTGATGGCGCGAAGGCGTTAGCCAGCCGTGCTAACACCCTTACTGGTTCCGAAACCCTGGAGTCAACTATTGACGAGAAAGCTGTCCTGCAGGAGAAGCAGGAAGTCGACTTGACTACGGATCAGCCATCAGGTGAAGCCAAGAGGACATCTAGTACCGTGCACGCACCCGAAGAAGAGATTCCGACTCGATCAAAGCGCCTCACCACGAGAATATACTTCTCATTCATTCGCCCCAATCTGCTACTTATTATCCTAGGGCTGGGTATGTCCGTAATTATCGGTGGGAGCTACAGTGCAAACGCAATTCTGTTTGGGAATACTGTCGGAGGACTTAGCCCATGCAAGGGTACACCCAACATCCGACACAGTGGGAACTTGTTTGGCCTTATGTTTTTTATCGTGGGGCTTATCGAGCTTTTTGCAAACATTATGGGTGGATGCGCGTATGGATGGGCCGCAGACCAGACATTATATCGGGTCCGCGTGGCCTCACTTCGATCACTCCTGAGCCAGAGCTTGACATGGCATAGTACTGGTGGGCGAAGTCCGGGAACACTTATTGCATATATCACAGGAGACGCGTCGGCTATTAGTGGCTTGACCGGAACCACTATTGGGCTTCTCCTCGCGACCACTGTGAATCTCTTTGCGGGTATAATCATCTCGTTCATCGTAGCATGGAAAATATCCATCGTGCTGGTGCCCACAATACCAGTTCTCCTATTGGCTGGAGTGATGAAACTGCGAGTGCAGAGTCAATTTGCCGAACGGCACAAGAAGGCATTCTCCCGGGCCACGGAGATCACAGTCGAAGCGCTTGGGAACTTGCGTTTCGTTGCCGGATTCTCGCTGGAGAAACAGCTCTACCGGGAGTTCCTATTCTCTATCCAGGGACCATACCAAAGGACCATGAAGGCTATTACCTGGGGAAACTTCTGGTTGGCAGCGGCATTTAGTGTTAGTAACCTCATCAGCGCCCTTGCGTACTGGTGGGGCTCTAAACAGATTGCCTCGGGACTATACTCGCAGTCGCAGTTCTTCATCGTTTTGCCGGCTTTACTGTTCAGCACACAGTCATGCGGCCAGATGTTAGCCTTGGCCCCTGATCTGTCGAAGGCAGGGAAGGCGGCATCGCGGATCGTTGACCTCGTGAGTACACACTCCAACGAACGGGAATTCGGCGGTGGCGATGTCCATCGGGCCCTGATATCTGGACCGGGAAAGTCGGATGCGGACATTGAGGCAAATGAGCGTTCCGAATCCGCGTCCTGTGGAACTGGCCAAATGCCAGTGGGGGCAGAGCTCCGGGACGTGGAGTTCTCATACCCTACATCACCGGATACCCCCATCCTCAAGGGCTTGACCGTCACATTTGAACCAGGGAGATTCTATGCACTCGTTGGGCCGAGTGGCTCCGGTAAATCCACTATCTTTGCTATGTTAGAACGTTTCTACTATCCCTCTGCTGGATCGATTTTCATCAACGGCCAGGATGTGACCCGTGTCTTGTCGACTAACTTTCGGGACGACATTGCTATCGTGCCTCAAGAGAATGTGCTTTTTGAGGGAACAGTAGCGTTCAATATTGCCCTGGGGGCAAGACCGGGGTATACGCCAACACAGGCCGAGATTGAGGAGGCGTGTAAACTGGCTCACATTCACGACGTGATCGCGGAGCTGCCTCAGGGATACGAGACGATCTGTACAAATGCCGGGAAGCAGTTCTCCGGAGGACAACGGCAGCGTCTCTCGATTGCCAGGGCCTTGATCCGCAAGCCCGGCCTCTTACTGCTCGATGAATCCACGAGCGCCCTGGATGGTGAGTCGGAAGGCAAAATTCAAGACGCCTTGTCGGGATTTATGGGCAAGACGACTGTTGTTGCCATTGCGCATCGTTTGCGGACTATCTATCGTGCGGACCGGATTTTCCTTATCCAGGGGGGTCGGTGTGTGGACCGTGGGACTCATACGGAGCTGATTGAGCGGAGTGAAATGTATCGCGAGAGTGTGCTGCATCAGTCGCTCGATGTCTGATATCTAGAAGGTATTAGATAGATTGATAATATAGAAGTTCGGAGATGTTATTCTCCATAGAAAAATGGTTTATACAATCATAGGATACAATCATAGGATACAATCATAGGTACTTATTATAGCTAGGTAGAATTAGGATTATAGACGGTGATAATGTATACAGACACCGCATAACGGTTGAGAGACGATCTATTCAGGAAACAGGAGATCACTGATAGAAGTAGCGATTGTCTCGATCGCAAGAGAGGTAAACTCTACGCACGCACACACACACCGTAACTCTGAAGAGGAAGATATAGGCTCACCTTCCCTTTCCCAGAGCCTGCGCTTCCCACATCCCGTCCCACCCTAAAGCATCACACCCTTATTTTGCTTCTGGTCCACATTCAAATTCTTCCACACGGCAATACATGGGAAGCCCAACGCAATAACAGCGGTAGTGGCAATACAACTGTACTTCTGGCTGTCACCCCACGCATTGTTGATGGCAGTGCGCACTTCTGACCCCATGGGATATGCCATCTGCGTGAGATAGCCGCCGAGATAGATGTCAACCCAGTCACCCTTAGCGTCTAGGGGTAACCCGTCCTGGAGTCTCTTGGGAAAGACATTGGTGTAAACAGCAGATGCGATAGCACTGCCCGCCGCGCCACCTAAACTGGCGAAAAGCCCTAGGATCGAGAGCATCATTGGGACGCCGTCGTGATCGGCGGCACTCATCACTGCCATGTCTTGCCCAATAACTAACATACCGCCGGCAAATGCGATGAAAATCTGGCACATAACAATATAGCCTATATTATCATGCTCCCCGCGGAAATGAATCATTAGTCCGGAGCCAAGTAGCATCAAGGGGAGGCCGAAATAAAGACACGCGTTTTTAAAGTGTCTTGTTTGTCGGATATAGATTCCGAATAAGGGGGCCCAGAAACAGGACCCTACATTGTATATCTGGTTTATATACCCTGCGTTTGAGACGCTGAGATTGTAGACTACCATGCAGAAATTGAGAAAGTAGAGATCCCAGGCCATATAGCCAAGATTGAGTAGTGCGGAAAGTATACAGGCACCGAGAACCGTCCGTTGCTTGAGCAGGTCGTATCGGATAAACTGCTTGCGAGCGAAGAACCGCTCCCACGTAACAAAGACAAAGAAAAGGAAAAACCCAATGACTAGCATAGCGATAAATGTGGCCGATTTATATTGGGCGCGTCCGTAGGTGGTAAGGCTGAAGGGGAGGAGAAGCAGGATAAATGTTGCCATTAACAAGGCCGCACCGATTACTAGTATCAAGAAATGACTTAGTATAGAAGAACCTGCAAGTAACAGGATAGCGTACTAACCATCGAATTCATGGATATAATGCTTGATCGATTGGATCCAGGTACGATCGTTGTGCGTTTTCTGATATAGGCCCATCTTTTGCGCCTTTCGTTCGTAGAATTTAAAAACAAGCGCGAGGGGTAGGAGGACAAAGGGAAAGATAATCGCAAATGCGCCGTACGCCCAGCGCCATGTTGTCATACTTAAGAAGGACTGGGCGGCTAATGGGCCCGTAAATGAGGTGCATATAAACGGTGTATTCGAGAATGCAAATGCAAATGCCCGGTTCCGCAGACCCGAGGTGTCGGCAAGGAAGACGTCGAGAATCAGGTAAATTGCGTTGTATCCAACCCAGTACATCACGTACCCCGCCGCGTAGCCACTCGGCCCGGTACAAGATGCGAGCACAATGATACCCAACAGGAAAAGACCGGTAAATACCAGCATCCCCTCCGCTCGACCCCAGACATTCAGGATCTTTGCGATAGGGAGCTTCATCACACCACCGACAACTGTGGCTAGGATGGCGGCGGTTGAGATTTCAGGGGCAGTCTTGAAATTCGAGTACGCATTGACAAGCACATTGCTGCCAATTGCCGAATGTAATGCTAGCATGAAGAAGCACACCCAAATCCTAAAGTGCAACAGCGGTTATTAGCCCATTTCCTTCAGATATCACCAGATGGAAAGCTTGAGACGTCTATACCAGGCATATATTCCCCACAAAGCAGGCTTGCTCCAAACAAGTGCTGCCGATTCGGCCTTCTTGACACCAGTCGCTTCACTATCAGCAAGGTCTGTCGTCCTTTCTTGCAGCTCCTTCGCATCTGGGCTCGGTAGGCTAGGCTTCTCGGGATCTGCTGCAGGTGCGGTGGTCACCTGGTCCGGAGATGCATTCGGGGCAAGCTGGGTATGATTGAGCGAAGGGAGGTTCATCATAATGGGTTCCGGTGTTGACACCTGAAAATCGAACTTTATGAGAAAGAAGGCAGCAATATGTTTACGCGAAACCCATAATCCAGCCGTACAGCAGCAATATGTATGCACAAAGAAGGCACAGGTATGATCCGGCTACGGCTGTCCCAGTGACTACTAGTTGTGCGCTAGAGTTGAGTACTACGAGAATAGGGCGTGAAAAATTTTCATCGGCGTGGTCCGGGACTGCAACCACGCGGCATCAAGATTTGACCGACAGACAAGACTAGCTAGTTGTGATGAAAGTAACAAATTGAAAATTACCGGTACAGGGACATATCCAATCTTAGGAACAGAGGGACGATGCTACGTTATGCTACCCAACACGCGAATTCAAATCATCCCCAATTCAAGCTGGAATAGGACATTCTGGGAATATGCATGTGTCAACAACCCTGCCAATCCACACTACGACCCAACCGTGTCCATATAAGCCCTCTTGGCGCACAGAAGGTATGAGTGGGCCGTGAACTCCATAGCAAATGCTGCGAAAGCTACGGTTCTGAGTATCGTAGCCGCCAATGTCCGAAGATGGGTACATACCAAAGCCTGAGCTAGCGCAATTATCTACGTATCGTATGATAGATGTGTGACCAGGCGAAATACACATGTAATACCGGGATCATAACCAGAGCTGGGCGGGAAGTGAACATAACTGGGAACTAAATCAGGATCCAGGGACCCTTGCTGGAGCCAGGACCGCCAATCAGTTTATGATATCAGATAGCAAGGAGTGGACCAACAACCCCTATCAATCTAATCTGATAACTCGCAACCAATGTGTCCCAAGCTCCACTAGGAATCATGTCCGCCACTAGTGCCGCAACGATGTAACGCTGGATAAAAAACCTAGCGGTTCCTGTGAACGTTAGCAGTTTTGTTGATGGAGAATCTTTCCACGTTAGGGTGGGTCCGGTAGCAAGACAAGTAGCGTACGTCTGGGATCAATCGGCTGATTGCTAACCCTGGTATCGGCCCCAAAGAGTCCCTGTATTCGGTAAACCCTACATGAGACTGCCAGCGCCCACTTCAAACACCATAGGGAAACTGTTCTCTTTGCCGTTTGTACTACAGTGCCATCCAAGAGTACAATTTACAACTACTAGGTATATAGCCGTTTGGTGGTTCTCCAATTGGGGTGGTTGGAAACAGCGAACTACGTGGAATTTGTAGTGAGTTGCGTCATGACGGTTCGGTGAAATGGCGAACACAAGTCGAATTGGATGCTTCGCTCTATTGGAATTACTGGAGGTCACATTGGGAAGGATGTGATGACCAATTTCCTGACTTAACGGCGCTACCGGGAAATATTGCAAGTACTCGGTGCTGCCAAGATTGATGTCTCGGACAAGATCCATTTTCCTGCTGCTTTACAGATACTATTTAACATGTAAGTTTCCACATTTCCGGGATTTTGAAAATTACCACCAATACGCCAAGGCATCAGGGTCCGAATTCCAGCATCATTCGACTCCAGGCTACGAAGAACACACCCTCTACGAACGGCAAGCGGCAAATACTGTTCGTTCTTCATTTGGGTCTCTTGCCCCCGATTGCTACTCTTACCAATGGCCGCAGGAACGAGGGGGTGACGCTACGCAATGGGTGGGGATCACAATTTCGGCGCCTAATTCGGAAGTAAGACTGCGTAGTGGTGACTGATGGCGACGGACGGTCGAGTGATATACGGTGTCGCGCAGGGGACTTAGGTAGCTCTCATCTTTGATATCTTGTAACAGCAAGCGAGTACACAATATTTGGCGACAGTCAGAAAACCTCCCCCTTTCACGAGTCTAAAATGTCACCAGAAGTAAAGGCACTGCCCGATCTGCAACCAGCAGCGCAGTGGCAACAGATGCAACTCCCGGTCACTAGACTTCCAGCGCCGCCGACAGATTGCGCCCATGGCCAGACTACTGATCGTAGTGTGAAACGATTGGGAATCGGTCGGTTAAACTACCTGCGCAATGAACGTGGTACGGATTCCCTGATCCAGAATTACACTCGCGCGATCATGGCTGTGACTGGTCAGAATCACATTGCCTTTTGGATAACTGCAGACGACGAAGGATCGACTGCCAAACGTGGTGTAGTCGTAGCAAAATGTGCAACAGACGATACCATGCCAGAGTGGGAAGCGTTCGAAGCCACCTTGGAGGATTGTACTGAGAGATCAGAGAAAGTGGAGTTTGGGCTCTGGCTCATGCGTGCGGGAGAAATCGACATTGATCTGGAGAGCTCTGTAAGTAGGAATTGTACGTCCCTCCACGTCAAGGCTCCTTGGCTAACAATTCGTCCACTTCTTACTAGGTCCGATTAGAGTTATATGTCAATCTTGAATCGTCGTGCGCCGAGTTCAAGTATCAAGCAGATCTGAAGTGCGAAACAGATATATCTAGCATTGGTCGGCAGATGAAGGTATACTTAGAACGTGTTGAAGGAGAAGAGGACAGCACACAATTCTGGACCAAGGAACTACAAGACTTCGTCACCATCCCAGAAAGGCAATTTCCAACTCTCTCTTGCGAACGCGTGACAGTCACATCAACGACTCTTCCCATTCTGTCGCGAAGTCTTGCCATGGGGACAACTTGGGAAGAGCTCCAGTCTCTAGCACAACGGCTCCAGCTGCAGTCACTGGCTTCAGTGGTTCGTGCAGCGTTTGCATATATCCTCGCCGAATACCTCGAGTCCGATAAGGTGCTAATAGGGGAGAGAGACTCGGTGGATGTCGAGCGCACAAAACCCGACACAGCTATACCTGTCCCAATCTTTGTTGCTGAGCCTACAGCTGAAGCTTGATACGCCAAATTGATAATTCTATCGCGAGGATAACGAGAGTGCAAAATGTGTCGCCAGATCGCCTTCTGGAAATTCTTAATTGCCCTTCATCGCAGGTCCCGTACAATGCCTTCTTTACGTACCATCAGGAGGTGGGATCCAATGAGAGCGAAAAGGCTGAGGAAGATGGCGCAAGATCAGAATCTTCGATGATCTCTATTGGGTTGAGCTTCGGACATTCAAAGCAAGGAATACCGTCTTGCACTCTTTCCACTAGACAGGACTTGATGGATGCATCTCACCTGGAACTGGTATTGCGCCATATAGACGCCTTGGTGACGGCGATACTTGCTCGGCCCACTGAATCACTTCAGGACCTCACTCAGGCATTTCCAGAAGACCTTCTTTCCTCACACTCACCATTGATAAGTGAGGAGCTGCGACAGGCCCCTCACCTATCCCCTTCTCATTGGGTCGACCACTGGGCGGCGTCGAATCCCAGCTGGGTTGCCTTGGAAGTCATAGAAGCAATCAGCGACGATGATGTACTATCCAAGAAATGGACGTACTGCGAGCTTTCTGAGACATCTGATCGGCTCTGCACATGGCTCGCCCACCAAGGCTGGTGTAATCGGGTCATCGCGGTTTGTCTAGGCCGCTCATTCATAGCGTACGCACTGGTACTTGCCATCTGGAAAAGTGGTAATTGCTACGTTCCCATCGCGGAAGATCTTCCTGAGGCCCGCCAGATGTTTTTGTTGAGCGACAGTGGTGCTACTGCCTTATTTACCGAAAAGGATACTGCGACCAGTCTCATACCTCCAGACAACTGCAGGGTGATCGATATCAACGATCACCAATTCCTTGAAGAGCTGGACAACGCTGAAGAATTAACAATCGTCACTGCAAAACCAACTGATAACTGCTATCTTCTCTACACCTCTGGATCTACTGGGATGCCTAAAGGAGTCCTCGTCAGCCGGGGAAATCTATCCGCCTTTACTGAAGCCCAGTCGGAGTATATCTGCCGCGATGTGCCGGACACGCTGGAATTGAAGGGCAAGGGCAGCTATCTCGCCCACGCTAGTCGAGCCTTTGATGTGCACATCTGCGAGATGGTACTAGGCTGGCGCCATGGGCTTCGCCTGGTCACCGCGCCACGAACCATGATTCTGGATAATCTACTGCAGGTTCTCAGACGATTTAGGATAACCCATGCCGGGTTCGTGCCCTCCCTCCTCGAACACACAGGGGTGAGCGCCGAGCAGTTACCTGATCTGCGATATCTGGGAGTTGGAGGGGAGAAGATCTCGGAAACGATCATTGAACGGTTCGTCGGCAAACCATGTATTGCGCTGGTAAACGCATACGGCCCTACTGAAGTCACAATCGGGATGTCTAGCCACACGGTCACAGCAACATCTACAGTGCGCAATATTGGGACCGCCGTGGGCAACATCACGATTCACGTTTTTGAGCTGGAAACAACAAAGTATGTCAAGAGAGGTCAGGCAGGAGAACTCTGCGTGACAGGGGACTTAGTCGCGAATGGTTACCACTGCAGGCCCGATGCGCAAGGCTTTACAGATTATCGCGGGCAACGAATGTATCGTACTGGGGATATAGTACGTTTGATGGCGAATAACTGTATTGAGTACCTGGGCCGACGAGATAGTCAAGCAAAAGTCCGTGGCCAACGTCTGGAGCTTGAGGAGGTATCCATCGCCATCCGTCGATGTGCGGATCGCGCAGTAAATGTTACTTCGATGGTGACGCCTTCCCCGATCACAAAACGTCCTCAGTTGGTGGCCTTCATAAGCCCTTCGAGTGACCGACCGGACGATCTGAAAACGCAGCCAGCGTTTTTAAAGGCTGAATACCAAGCCTGGGTACCGGGACTTCTAGAGCGTTGCCGTGAAGAACTGCCAGTCTATATGGTTCCCAGTGTTTTGCTTCCCGTCAGCTTCATACCCATCCAGATCTCAGGTAAAGCTGACAATCGCCGTCTGGTGGCCCTGTATGAAAAAATCCCGGCATCCGACCTCCACCTACAAACGCGAATATCCGCGGCCAGGGAGCCCGAGCCAGGCTTACATGCTGGTTCTGCGTCATTGACGACAGATGAAGAGAAGATTCGTGGCATCCTTTGCTCGGTAGTATCAGTAGACCGCAGCACGGTGACGAAGACAACCAGTATTTTTCAATTAGGGATTGATAGCCTCAGTTCTCTCAGTGTGGCTGCTAAGATGCGAGAGGCGGGCTACCAGTGCGCAGCGGCGGATATCCTTGGTAACCCTACGCTGGGACAGCTAGCATCTTTGCCACTTTCTCGTGCAGGCGGCGACATGCAGTCTAGCAAGTATTTGTCGACGGGCCAGCTAGCTGAAGTTTCGCGGCGCTTGGAGTACCTTGATCAATCCTTCCGAAAATTGCAAAAGAACATTCCAAACTCATCTATTGCTGTCGTCCGGCCGTGTTTGCCCCTTCAGGCGAGCCTTGTGTCCAGCTCCATGGGTAGTCTAAGCGCTCTGTATGTCAGTCATATCATGTGTCGAATAGGCCCCGACATTGTGCTACGGGACTTGAGGTTAGCGTTTCAAGATCTGATACATGAGAACGAAATATTGCGCACATGCTTTCATGTCATGGACGACAAGGTCATCCAAGTGGTCCTGAAGCCTCGGGCGGCAAAGATATCTTGGGAACAGGTTGCTGTTGCGGACGAAGAAGCGGCCCAAGTCTATTTCAGTAATCGGCAAACCGAAGTCGCAACGAAGATCATTCGCAATATCGAGAGTGAAGTCCCACTCCATATTGTAGCTGCTTCGTCAAGCAACAATTCCGTTCCGGGGTGGTTGATGCTGTCCATTCACCATTCCATATTCGACGGTGCCAGTATGGACGTCTTGCTTGACCGGTTATACCATCATTACACTGGGAAGACAGCCTTGCACACTAGAGACCTCACCCCTCTTTATAGGCATTTCGTCACAGCCCCCGAAGAAGCAGCCGAACGATTCTGGTCTAGCTATCTCACAGGCGCTCTTCCTACTATTGTGAAGACCGACAGTCCCTCTGATACCTCTTACGATATAATTACAGAAGTATTAGCTTTCAAGCTGTCCATGATCTCTAAAGTTGCTTCCGAAATATCCACTACCACCGCAATTATCTTGGAGACTATCTGGGGAATCTCATTGGCAAGGTACTTGGTTGAGACGGATGTGATATTTGGCCGGATCATGAACGGCCGAAGCATACCGGTCGAGTCAGTCGAAGAGATGCTGATTCCCCTTGTAACAACTGTTCCCAGTCGACTTCGGCTTCCTTCTGGATTGTCAAGCATAGTTGACCTGATCAAGGCTCATACTCAGGCTAGCCTCGCATCGCTACCTTATCAGCATACGTCACTCCGCGACATTCAGCGGTACGCGCAAGCCCCTGGCCCATTGTTCAACTCTATGTTCTCATATATAGCAACTGCCCCAACATCACCCGCAAATGCGATGCTGGTGGAAATGGATAGCGTCATGCCGGCGGACTACCCCCTTGCATTAGAAATCAAAGCGGAATCGGAGCCAGACACGGTGACTTTGCGGTTAAGAGTCACCCGTGGCTCTTGTCTCACAGACAGCGGTCGAGGGCTGATCGACGTCATGTGCATCATTCTCCAAGAGTTGGTCTCAAACGGGGATTTTATGATTGAAAGTGAAGGAAGATCCCAGCCACAGGAGCGAGACGAGCCAAAATGGGATGAAACCCGCTGGACTGAATTGGAAACAAAAATGCGCGAAGTCGTGTCTGAGATTACCGGGCTTCCTGAATCCCAGATTTCAAAGAATATTTCTTTCTTTGCATTGGGAGTTGACTCAGTTATTACTATCCGTATGGCTCGTCGCTTACAAGAACAAGGCCTCAAAGCGTCTTCTAGTGATATACTACGGTATCCCTCGATTGGTGCTCTTCATAATTATCTGCAAAAGTGCAACGCTGCGCCATCCATCTCACCAATGAAGGAGAACACTTCGGACCCCAGTATAAGCATTGACTTGTTCCATGAAGACGACTCGATTGTCGAAACATACCGCTGTACACCTTTGCAGACCGCAATGATTGGCCAATGTCTGAGCTCTGAGGGCAAGGGATATGTTCACCATCATGCAGTCATCTTAGACGACTCAGTCGATCTTGAACAGTTGGCTAGTGCGTGGCAAGAGGTTGTTGGACTAGCAGATATTCTCCGAACGACATTCCACAGGGAGAAAGCGAGTCATGATTTCCAGGCTGCGGTCCATCAACACTCTCTTGTACAATGGTTGCATCAACCTGCCGTCGAATCACTGTCTGGAGCGATTGAACAAATATCCCAGCGTGTAGCATACCCCGACATCAAAAGCTTTGAGAGGCCGCCGTGGCTTGTCACAATCCTGACTGGGATCTCCCAACGGCTGATGGTTGTGACTATGCATCACTGCCTCTACGATGGTTTTTCTTTGCCACTGCTTTTTGAGTGTGTAGATAATGCGTATAGAGGTCTGTCAACCCACGTTGGGTCATTTGCCTCTGCAGCACGCAAGATCACAAGTACTGAGGAGTCGTCCGTGAAATTCTGGGCTGAAACTGTCAAAGGCTATCGGTATTGTAAAGTGCCATTCTCACCAACTGTTGCAATAGAACCCTGTGTCCAATTGGCTGAGGCTACTGTGCAGACTCCTGTCACTACTTTGCAGCATCAATGCCGCTGTCTTGAAGTTACGTTGCAGACAGTTGCTCTACTCGCTTTTGGTCGGTCCTTGGCGACACTATTGGGCCAGCGGGATGTGATATTCGGTCATGTAGTTTCTGGACGAGGGCTAAATATCGATACTGCAGCACCGATAATTGGTCCACTTTTCAACACAGTACCGTTTCGCCTGGTACTTGATCCAATTCTTCAGAGTACCCGTTCAGTCTTGCGTCACATCCAACGCTTTTCTGCCGACGCCCAGAGTCATCAACATGCACCACTAAGTGTAGTCCAGAAGGACTGGCGTCTGGATAACCACAGTGAGGCTTCCTCGCTGTTTGAGACTCTCTTTACTTTCAATAAATCAGGCAACCAAGACCCTACGTCTCTTTTTCAGCCGTACCTTTCTCATCGTGCACCAGACACTCCTCATTATAGATTAAATGTGGAATTTGAGCAGAGGTCGGACTTTCTTGTGGTACGTGCATCGTCCCGTGATCTCCTATCAAATGGCGGCGATCTGGATGCCTGGATACAGACCTTAGCTCTTGGTTTGGAGAATATCATTTCCCATCCGGATGCCCCCGTGCTGAGCTTTCCGTCTGAGCTCAAGGCTCTCCCTCTGGCTACTAGTTCTATCCAGGATGTAGGAAAGCAGCCTACAGATATTCGATGTCTGGAGAACCATGCTAGAATCATCAAAGCAATCATCGCAACGGTTACCAAAACACCGATTGATCAGCTCCACGAGGGCAGCAGCATTTTTGCGCTCGGCGTGGACTCTATCTTAGCAATAGATATCAGTGCTAAGAGCCGAGAGGCTGGACTGAAACTCTCAGTCAGTGACATCCTTCAGGGAAGAACGATCCAGGGAATTGCGACGATTGCCGCCAACAAGATAAAAACACCCTCTGTCCTGCCGGAGACTATCACTGATGGCAGCAGATCTGCTATCAGTACAGATGCAAAACAACAAGCATTAACTGCCTTGGCTTTAAAGGAAGATGATGTCGAGGTCATCTTGCCCTGTCTCAGTGGTCAGATATTCTATATATCTTCTTGGCTCGGTAGCGGTCGACGACTGTGGGAATTCACCTTTGCATTTACCAGCCGCGTCCGACTGGACCCGGAGAAGTTAGACCATGCCTGGCTACTGCTTCAACACCGACATAGCATTCTTCGAACATCATTTGCCGCCATTTCCGCGGTAGAGATAGTGCAGGTGGTATGCAAGCCAGCCAAAGTAAATAGAGGTCTTCGCGTGGAGAGTCAGCCATCTATGGGAAATCTTCAATCGGAAATCCAAGGCCTCGCTCGCAATATTACGTGCAGTCCGTCTGATCTCTTCACGCCTCCGGTTCGCCTATGCCTGGTACAGCACAAAGACTCGGACGTCTTCTACTCACACTACATCACGCATTGTACGACGCCCGGACAATCCCGATGTTGATCGGAGATCTAGAGGCCTTGTACCTGAACACCCCTCTCGCACCCCATAGTAGCTTCCCCGCTTTTGTGCATCATGCTCAGCAGACAGCGGGTTCTAAACTTGCCGATGCGTACTGGAAGCCGGCAATCGAGACTGGCCAGCGTACAGTGTTGGGAAAAAACACACCCAGCGCCGGGAATCCCTCACAAATCGTTTCATCTCAGCTCATTTACCCTCAAGATCTTAAGATTGTGGAAGATTGGTGCCACCAGATTGGAGTTTCCGTGCCCTGTCTTATCTTACTAGCCGTGGGTCGTAGCTTGGCACGCATCGCAGATGTGACTCATCCTACTTTTGGTCTCTTTCAATCCGGGCGTTCAAGTGAATATCCGGACATACACCGCATAGCAGGTCCGACTGTGAATATGCTACCGTTTGTGGTCCCAGATGCCCTTACCCACCCTATGCTCGGGGCCCTCAAGGCTATACAGCATGATCTAGGTCAACGTGCTATCCATGACCAGACCAATCTCCGACAGCTCCGCCAGAGAATGAAGGAACTTGGCAACGACCCAGAATTCAATGTCCTTCTCAATATAGTCCTCAGTAAATCCACGGACAATTCAACCCGAGATTCGACTGATCCTCTGTTGACCCCGTCACCCATTGGTTTCGAGAATTACTTAATTGCTGAACGCCCGCTGGCTGGTGCAACGTCTGTTGACAAGTTCCGGTATAATTGGCTCCCTTGTGAGAAAAATATATACTTGGAGGTCAACTACAACGAAACCGGTGGTGAGCTGCATTGGAAGGTTGACTACGAAGTAAACTCAATGACGACACTTGAGGCACAGACGCTTTTGGAGAATATTGGACAGGAGGTGAATTTCATTCTGGGAGACTCGTGACTTAGATCATGATGCTTGCTCGACGAAGAGATGGACAAGGTTGCGTGCGAGTGTAGTGGAATAAATACTTGCGACCAGGGTAGAGGGAGTGATATGGTGCCATATTTGCCCTCCAGAGATACTATACATATGTAAAAGCCACAGAGCATATTATGAGAACCAAGACAGACGTTGGCTCGAGCATTGATATGCTAGTGGGCTGCCTCAGCTACAGTAACCAAACTGTATCCAGTCGACATAGCTATTAGCTAACGTTAGATATGTATATCAGCAACTAATTCTAGTCTAATCTATTTTAGATCCCAATCTATTATTTATAATTTCTATACCCTAGTACCTGCAACATCTGAGATAGACGTCAGGATCCGGCCGTCCCTTTGGCCCAGATTTGGTATTGCTGTATACTTTTACTACTCATTATATATAAGCAGTATGTCTATATTCTATCTATTATAGCTTTACCTTTGTTCAATCTGATTAGTAGCTAGTAGTAACCACTATTACTATTACTATTAAGGAACTATATTACAGTCTTAACAATAATATAAATAGAACTTGTTTTCTTACTGTCCTGGTATTTAGAAGTTTACTATAGAAGTCTATTGTACTGAATCCCCAGCTTAAGCTTTTTATTTCAGTATTCTTTCAGCTTGGATAGGAAACCTAGTCCACTAGTAATTGGGATATTGTCGTATATATTACAATAGGCGGGCGCTGATTAGCTATTATATTTATGATTTATATAGATATCAGCGAAACGATTAGTATAGATATTAATAGACTGGCATTTGGCTAGGTTAGGTTAGGTTAATAGGGTCAGTTATACCTAACCGCTAGGTTATAGTTAGATTAATAGAATTTCTATATTTAACTATAGTTAAGTTAAAAATTAGATAGTTAATTTAGATTAATGGTAT